GCACTTATTCTACTGAGCTATCTCCCTGGCCCATGTCTGCATGTTTTTGAAAAGGGGAAGAAATACAATTTCTACTAGATTTGTAAGAGTCTATCACCTCAAGGAGTCAAGGGTCATTGTTTAAGAAGGAGGTTGGCCCTTTCAACAAAAAACAAAAATGTAAAGGCAGATGACAAAAAGGATGAGAATTATTTGTTCCTATGTTCAGGAAATTTAACCTCAAAAATCCATTGGAGTTCATGTAGGGCAGTTTGGGGTGAATCTTTCTGAGATAAAAAGCAAGCTGAAATTCTCTAAGGAAGCAACACGTAAAGCTGACTGCCCACTTCTTCCTGGGCTTCCACACCTGCTGCTGGAGGACATAAAGCATCCGGGCACAGCGAACAGTCTGCTCCTGTCTCCTGACACGGATCCGCTGCTCTTCATCTGGGTCCAAAGCTTCTTCTAGTCTATCTGAAAATATTTTTCCCCAAAATCAAATTATAAACCATACACAGACACTTACAAAACTTTGGTTAACCTAAAGGGCAGTAAGTTTTAATATCTAGTTTTAATAACCTAGTTTTATTAAGGAAAAATTAAGACTGTTAGAATCGAACATTTCATGTCTCACCAGGGAAGAAACCAGGAACGAGCAAGTAGAGTTGTTATGCACTCAGCAATGGAAGGGGCAAAGCACAGAGACCAACTCTTCTCCACACCACAAGTCCCTCAACCAAATCCCACTGGATGGTTTCCTCACTGTGAAGCATTTTGTACCATTTTATGATATTTTTCCAAAAGCTCTTTATTGAACTACATTGTTACCTTAATTTACATCCTTAATATGTTTTGCAATTTGGGGAGAAGATGGTTGCATTTGTGTTTGTGTGGAAAAGATGGCTGTGGTTGTTTTTGACACCTTATATGGAGTCTAAGAATGGAAACAAATTTTGCTGAATGCCTTTGTTTGCAAAGAAAACTGTTTCCAAACAGAAGTGTTCGTTTGTTTAGCAGGATTATTTTTACTTTCTTATCTTGACTCCAAAAAAGAAATGCTTTCTCTAAAATCTGACAATATCAAGTGCTAAAATTACTTAGAGTCTGAAGTCTCAGTGTGTGTCAGGAAACAGACCCTTGTACACAATGATGTTCTACATGTTTCAGAGTGGGTCAAAGAAATTTTTTCTGGTAGATTACCTGAAGTTTCCTGTGTATTTATTCTTTAATCTTCTATAAATGCTTATATAAATTCTTTTACAAAACTCCAACATAAATCAGATGAAAGCAATATTCTATTAGTACAAGTGTACTTTATGAGTTCAATTTGTATTAATTGCTCATTAAAAAATCAAACAAAAAAAATCAAACAAGAGGGCTAGAGATGTATCTCACCAGCAGATCATTTGCCTGCTTATGCAAGACCCTGAGCTCCATCACCAATACCAAAAAAAAAAAAAAAAAAAAAAAAAGGTCAACCAAGAAAAATAAGGCTGCTTTGAAGGAAAGCATATTTGAAGTCAGAGGTGGGACATATAGATGCAGTTCTTTTTTATTTTTTATTTTTTTGGTGGAACTGGGGATTGAACTCAGACCCTTGTACTTGCCAGGGAAGCACTTATTCTACTGAGCTATCTCCCCGGCCCAGATGCAGTCTTTTTTTTTTTTTTTTTAAGAACTTTATTTACATGGGGGGGGGCAGCTCAGCCCACCAGGGGGCGGGGCTGGCCGGCATGTGGTGCTGGGGGATTGAACCATGGACCCTGTGCTTTGCTAAGCTTGTTCTAAGTAGGTGCTTTAGACCACTGAGCCATCTCACCAGCCCAAGATGCAGTCTTATAGGAGCCTATAAACCAAATTAATTCTAGCTGTTTGAGCTGCATCTGGTTTAGGGAGAAAATGCAGCTTCACATATGAACATAAATAAGAACTGGCTTAATTAGGAGTATTTATGTGTTCAACTTGCAAGTGCTTGTGTTGCAAGAGCAGCACTTGGGAAGTGGGAACGGGTGCTGCAGGACCAATGTGAGGGTGGTCAGCAGCCAGGAGCCACTGCAAACTATCGGTGGCCCACATCAAAGTAAGTGCAGAAATTGAAAGTATGCATTTACATGTCTTTATAGCAACTTACAGCAACTTGCCACACTTCTGACATTTTTGTTAAAGCTTACAAAGAATTGCTTCATGATTGCTTGAAATGTTACATAAATCAATGAGCCCAATCCTTCCCCTTAGCGAGTCTGAAAAGCTGTTTTAAACACATTGGATCAGATCACAAGGAAAGCCTGGTGGCCTTACTCCCTGCTGCTGGGAGGACATTATACTTAGGTTATGTGGTGGGGTCCTGCCATGGACTGACATTGAGAAATGTAGTAAAAAACAAGCCATAGCATCTTTGTTATTTTCTATAGAGCTTTTTGTTTGCAACATTACACCAACATACTACTAAAGAAGACTTAAGAGGAGAAACCTTTTCCTGCCCAGAGTATTTGAAAGTTGTCATTGTTACACAATTGTCTTTTTAATGCTAGGTTTTGTAAATTCTGATCATGGTTCCCTCTGTAGCTAACGCCTAGGAAACTCAAAATAAATCTACAACCCATTCCTAGTAAATCTTTTTCCTTTCCTTCTTTTTCTTATACAGTATCCTCAAATATGTAGTTTTATCTTGTCTCAAATATTTTAAGTACTTTACATTCTTTATGTAACATCCACATATATACATATGCACATATCAGTTAAATTTAAAATGCAAAATTCATGTAGAATCTACTATCCAAATATAATAGTTCCTCTTGAAACCCTAATCTTTACTCCTCGCAGTCTGAAAGCTGATCCTGAAGTTCAAATTGTTAGTTACAGTAACCCCAAAATCCCTCTGCAGAACCAATCCTTTACTCTCCATGTAGGGGGCAGGGATATATCTCAGCGGCATAAGCGCCTGCATGGCAAGCACAAGGTCTCAAATTCAATCCCTGGTACTGTAAAAAAACAAAAACAAAACAAAAAAACCTCCTCATGTAAACACAAAAGCACTGAGACCACTACAGAATTTCAGAAAATACAAGATAATGACTATAATCTTTCCTTTCTACTTTTTGTTTTTTTGGGGGGATGGGTACCAGGGATTGAACTCAAGACCTTGTGCTTGCCAGGCAGGCGCTTATTCTACTGAGCTATCTCTCCAGCCCAACTCTCTCCTCTCTATGTGTGGTCAGGTATCTTACAGAAAGAGCCACAACTTTTCTTGTTACTAGTGTGTACCAATCTTAACACTTCCCAAGTAGGAACTGATGTAATCTATATATCTATTTACTTACACACACACACACATGTATATACATATATACTTCTATGTATTTACGTATACAATACTTTCAATGAAAATTAAAAATAATTCCTCCAGAAAAACTTTTGGCTAAACAAGGAAAACATTGGATCATTTGTACTCATGTAAGTTTCACACTGCAGGAACTCCAATTGGTAGGCTGGTCCCTCAGTCACTCCACAGACAAAGTACGGCCTGTAACAGGAGTGTATGTATAGGAGTGAGGTGTTAAACTCTTTAGAGAAAGGTGGCTCTGGTCAAACTTCAAACTCAACCATCTTGTCATGAGTGCCATGTCCCAGGGAACCAACACACAAGGGAATGCAATGAAACTTGGCGGGGGCTGGGAGGCCCAACGAACACAGCGCAACTATTACGCACACATGGCATTATATCTCACCTTTTTTAGTTACCTCTTCGATTTTATGGATACAGCTGCTCAATTCTTTCTGGAGTCGCTGAACCTCTAGCAGGCTTTTCTGTTCACCTAAGTTTTTGTGGTCACCTAGCCGGGGCTGTGGATATGGTCCTGGATCACGAGTAGGTGGTGAGTTGGGCATGGTGAGATCTGGCTGTCCACGATGAGATGTGTATACACACACTCTGGCCCCTGAGCTGGAAATTCCTACTTCAGATGGCTGGTGGCTGCACTGATGGACTTCTTGATTTTTTGAGTCTTTCCGTTCTAGCTTGTGGTCAGATATTTTATACTTGATTTGTCTGCATTTCTGAGAATTTGCAGGCTGACTTCTGAGATAATGTTCTTCAAATTGTCTTCGCTTTACATCTCTTTTGGCTAGGTGGACTGCATAGCTAAGTTTCTCTTCTGATATTACAGAAAATGAAACGGAACTGCTTAGGTCAGGAACAACTCTAAAATCTGAGTCTTTATAATAGGATTCATTGTATGAGTGCTTCAGCTTCTCAATTTTAATTCCATGTGGACAAGAATATCGGATTTCCAAGTTGCTTGGATGTGTAGGAACATTCCTATTAAACTGCAATTGATTCTTTAAAATAGTAAATAAACATAAGCACATATTAGAAAAATAACATATTATACATATCATAGGTATAAATGTATAACCAAGTTTCCAATATTTTGCCCACAAGATCTTTATGTGAAGAGGTGTTTTTTCCTGCTGTACTAATTAGTCACTTGCTATACACTCTAGTTCAATATACAGCCTGGGGGTTTCCCTACAGTCACCCTGCCCCACACTATGACCCTTCCACTTACCATTAGCAATCTGGATCTTCCTCTAAGTCAGCCTGAAAAGCTTATAGCAGCAACCAATATGCTCTTTCTTTGGCCAGCTCAGCCTGCCCTGAGGGTGGAGCTGGCATGGCATGTGGTGTCAGGTATTGAACTGCGGTCCCCTGCGCCTGCCTAAGCTTGCCTAAGCAGGCACTTTAGATGGCTGAGCTACCTTGTCGGCCCCCAATATGCTCTTCAATCCCAAATTATGGATTTCTGTCCTGTCAAGGTCTAGCAGCGACCAATGCAATTCATTAGCGCTGTCTTTAAAGTTGCTCCACACATGTACCACCAGCCACACCAAACTGAACCCATTGGATGACACTTTCTACATCTTTCGTCCTGCACCTCCATGTACCTCCACACAGTCCACTAGCCTAAACGCATGCAGACTTAAGTCAGCTGTCACCATACCAGGTACAAGCTTCATTGGTTCTTACAGTTTGACATAAGCACATCCCCGTATTTCCTATAGGTTTTAAAAAATATTTTTCATGGCTACATTTCCCAAAAGCCAAAGAATAATCTTTTCATGTTTTACCTAAATATAATCATATTATGAAACATTTACATTGTTCCAGTGCTTCCAGTAATAGAAACTGTGCTTTACTTAATATCTCCATACATTTAGAATTTTTTAAAATATATTTGATACAGGGTCTATAGGGTCTACAGGGTCTCACTACATAGATCAGACGCATAGTGATTCTCCTGTTTTTAGCCTCCCAAGTCCTGGGATTACAGGTGTGGACCACCACGCCCAGTCTCAATCGCTGCCTCAGCAGTCCCTGGCGTGGGGCCAGCAGGGTATCGAATCTGTGTTCTGCCTAAGTAGGCACTGTAGTCCATTGAGCTACCTGGCCAGCCCTCCTACATTTAGATTTTATTTCTCTTTTATCCTACTTCTTCAGGATAAATGATTTTATCTGGGATTACTGGGCCAAAGGAAATAAGCAATTCTGTGGCTATAAATTTCTTATGTTATGTCAAAGAACACTCAAAGACAAGTGAATAGGAGAATACATGTTTTTAAACTCAGTGAATTCTTTTTTTTCTTTTTTTTTGCAGAACCAGGGATTGAACTTAGGCCTTTGTGCTTGCCAGGCAAGTGCTTATTCTACTGAGCCATCTCCCCAGCTCCTAAACTCAGTGAATTCAGTTTCATCATATTTTATCTTAAAAAAAAATATTTATTTATTTGGTACAGGGTCTTTCTAGGCAGCTCAGACTTGTAGTGATCCTCCTGTCTCAGCCCCCGAGCACTGGATTACAGGCATGCGTCACCATGCCTGGTTCTGGGGGACGGCCTGGTGCACCCCAACTGGGGCGGCATGACTTATGGTAAAAGGATCAAACCCAGGTTCTTGCGCTTGCCAGGCAGGTGCTTAGACCACTGAGCTATCTCCCCAGGCTCTCATCATGTTTTAACTTGAAGATGGCTCCCAAACTCCTACTATACATGTGCTTATATAATAATGTAAATGAAAATTCAATTTAAAATAGCCCAGTGTTAGGCTAGGTGTGGTGGTGCATGCATGAATCCCAGCACTCAAGAGGCAAGAGGGATCTCTATGAGTTCAAGATCAACCTGATCTAAATAGTGAGAACTTGTCTCAAAAAATAAATGGGGGTGTGTGAGATCTCCACGCCTGCTGGATTCTACTCCAACTGGCACCAGGCCTGGTGTGTGAGTAGGACCTTCCATATACTCACCGGAATCTCCTCCATCAGACAGGCCTGGTGTGGAACCCTGCAGCAGAACTCCCTGCAGAGAGGTAAGGGGCCAAACCCACCCAACTAATCCAGGAGCAGAACATTTTGCCAGAGGGGCACAGTGGGTCTATTTCCACAGACTGCAGCAGAAAGAAGCAGAGCACAGCAGCCAGACCTAAGTCAGGCCCACCTGGAAGATTTCAAACTTGGTCAATCTGGACCCGGTAAGATGAGACACTGCTAGTCCCAGACTTATGAGAGCATCCTCTCTCTTCCTCTCTCTTTTTTTTAAATTATTTATTTATTCATTTATGTGTGTGTGGGGGGCCAGGCCAGCCCACCAAGGGGCGGGGCTGGCTGGCATGTGGCGCTGGGGGACTGAACCGCGGTCCCCGTGCCTTGCCAAGCTTGCTCCAAGTAGGTGCCCTAGACCACTGAGCCATCCCAGCAGCCCTCTTCCTCTCTTGATTGACAGAAGGGGCAACAGGTAACTGGGGTGAACTAGTCTGCCTGGAAGACTACAGGTACAAAAGGGGAGGTGATCAGAAGAACTTAGGGGAACTCATTAAGTAAAAATTCCCAATCTAGTACCTGCTTAGCTATACAGTCATTATTCTTAGGATCTAAAAGGCAAACCTATTAGATGCATAAGTTTCTCAACTGCTAAATCTCACTACCCATTATTTATGTTGCTAATTACAGTTCTGTAAATATAAAACTGTAGGGGCCGGGGAGATGGCTCAGTGGAATAAGCGCTTCCCTGGCAAGCGCAAGGGCCTGAGTTCAATTCCCGGTTCCACAAAAAAAAAAAAAAAAAAAAAAAAAAAACTGTAACTGCCTTAGCCACATAAGCTCTCTTGGGTAATAATACTGGCACATACTAAGGCAATAACTGCACCAAGGCTCTACAACAAAGGTCAGAAGACAATGCTGGAGCCGGGGAGATGGCTCAGTGGAATAAGTGCTTCCCTGACAAGTGCAAGGGCCTGAGTTCAATCTCCAGTTCTGACAAAAGAAAAAAACAAAACAAAAAAAGTAACAATAAAACAGTGCTATATAAAATGACAAAGAGAAGGAGCAAAATGTACTCTCAGGCCCCAAGCCCATCCAGAACAAATGCAGAAGACACCAGCATAGAAGAAATTGGAAATCACATGCCTAAAATCTCTGAAATAATAGCATCTGAAGTAAAGAAACAACTGTAGGAAGATATAGAGGAAATCAGATCAGAAATAGTATCTCTTGCCTGGCAATCGCAAGGGCCTGAGTTCAATCCCCGGTTCTGAAAAAAAGAAAGAAAAAAAGAAAATATCTGATAGCTCAGTGGATTAAAGTGCCTGCAAGCAGGTGCAGGGGCTGGGAGTTCGATTCCCAGGCCTGCTGTGCCGGCCCCGCCCCCGGGGCATACTGAGACTGCCATTCAGACTGGGCGTGTAATCTCAGCACTTAGGAGGCTGTAAACAGGAGAATCACTACGTGTCCAATCTAGTAGTGAGACCCTGAAACCCTGTAGACCCTTCCCTAAAATATATAGAAAAAAAAAAAAAGAATTTCTGAAGCAAAAAAAGAAATGATAACCATAATGAAAGAATTACTAAGAGATTCTAAAGAAAACACATAAAATATAGAGAACAGAAAAATAATGGAATCCTTGAATGAAAAATATAGGAAAGAAATAGAATGCATGAAGCAGATTCAAAGAGATATCCAGGAAATTAAAACCTCAATCACAAGTTGACAAAACCATTTGAATGAAAGTGAAGATAGAGTTTCAGACCTTGAAGACACTGTTGCAGCTAGTGAAAAGATAAGAAAAGATCTCTTAAAAACAACTAGGATGGGCTGGTGAGATGGCTCAGTGGTCTAAAGCATCTACTTAGAACAAGCTTAGCAAAACACAGGGACCGCGGTTCAATCCCCCAGCACCACATGCCAGCCAGCCCCGCCCCCTGGTGGGCGGAGCTGGACACACACACACACACACACACACACATAAATAAATAAAATTAAAAAAAAAAACCAACTAGGATGCAGGAAAAAATAATTCAACCTTTGCAAGACGATGAAAAGATGAACAATGTAAAACTAATAGCATCAATGAGGAAAGAAGTCAATACAAATGATATGAAAAGAATATGGGCAGAAGTAATAGAAGAAAACTTCCCAAATATGGGAAAACTATCTGACATTCAGATAACCAAAGCATATACAACTCCAAATAACATCAACCCAATTAAAACCACACCCAGACATACAATAGGCAAGATCCCAAAAATCCAGTACAAGAACAATATACTAAAAGCCACTAGAGAAAAGAAACAGATCACATTTAAAGGAAAATGTGCCATCAGAATAATGGCAGATTTCTCTTCACAAACCATCAAGTCAAGAAGACCATGGTCAAAGTACTTCGAGAAGTCCAAGAAAACAAATTCCAGCCCAGAGTGCTATATCCTGCAAAACTCTCAAGTTTGATGGAAAAGTGAAATACTTCCATGACAAAGAACAAATAAAGAATTTCATGTTGACAAAGCCTACCCTACACAGACTACTAAAAGACATTCCTCTAGAATAGAGACCAAAATGACTGCAACTCCGCAAATGAAAACAGAAAGAAATCACCAAATAGGGCAAACAAACACAGGAGAAAAAGGATTATACAACAACAGGTAAATAACATGTCAATCATAAGTCAATATATCTCAATTATATCCATCAATGTAAATGGACTCAATTTACTAATTAAAAGAAAAAGACTGGCACAGTGGATTAGGAAGCAAAATCCAACAATACACTGTATACAAAAAACACATTTAACTCCTAAATTCATAGGCTGAAAATCAAAGGACGGAAAACAAAACTACATACCCCAGCACTTCAGAAAAAAGCAGGAATAGCAATCCTGTTCACAGACAGTCTGAACTTCAAGAATGATCAAACGAAATAAAGAAGGCCATTATATACTAGTTAGGAGAAAAATACAAGTGGAAGAAGTAACAGTCATAAATATGTACGCACCAAACACGGGAGCACCTAACT